ATTGTGCTCTGCCCTATTTCTTGCTAACCAGCTTTGTCTGATTCACTTAATGAATGCAATCCAACTAATATTTTGGTTTCTCATAGCATCAGTCTTGTATCTATTTTTCAAAATTTGCTGAATTTGTTAAAACCTCCTGTTGTTGAATTTGAGGTAATGGGCATTCCGCACTCCTCATTTGAGGAGAAGATAGCAACGATGAAGCAACTGAGAGGGGTTGAGCTTGACTCTGAGCTAACTGAATCTGATCTCAAGGAGCTGGTGGAGCAGTACAAGAATGTATATCTCAAAGTCAAGGGAGAAGAGTTTCCTTCGGGTATCTTATCCATCCTAATTATGGAGTTAAAAGAAGCTCATGCTTGATATTTTTCCTTTTTTTCCTTTGAAGTATTACAGAAGAAACTCAAGATTACATTCTTTTATTGGGATCAATTTGCAGATCCAAAGAAGCAGTTACAGTTGGCTGTTAAAGCAGTTTTCAATTCTTGGGATAGCCCAAGGGCCATTAAATATCGGAGCATTAACAAAATAAGTGGGTTGAAAGGAACAGCAGTAAACATCCAATGCATGGTGTTTGGAAACATGGGAGACACTTCAGGGACAGGTGTTCTGTTCACTAGGAATCCAAGCACCGGTGAAAAGAAGCTTTACGGGGAATTTTTAGTCAATGCACAGGTTACACATAGTGGCATTACCTCTGTCTGACTACTATTTTCTTTCTACTTTTTGATGGTTATATCATATAATAAAGCTAAAACATGTCTCTTTCTGTAGGGAGAGGATGTGGTTTCCGGAAACAGAACCCCAGAAGACTTGGATACCATGAAAAGTCACATGCCTCAACCTTACAAAGAACTTGTTATGAACTGCAAAATTCTTGAGCAACATTACAAAGATATGATGGTAAATTTTCCACTTTAAACTGGAATTTCATACTTTTCTACTTATGTTATCGATTCCCGTGTTTATTCCCCTTTGTTATCTTGAATTATCAATGATAGATTATTGTACAAGTTAAGCTGTATTATATTCAGACATACCTGATGTGTTAAACCGTTCTGACATAAACTAATCAGCCTTTTTTTTTCCTGCAAATGTAGGATATTGAATTCACGGTACAAGAAAATAGGTTATGGATGTTACAATGTCGATCAGGGAAGCGTACTGGAAAAGCTGCAGTGAAGATAGCTGTAGACATGGTTAATGAAGGGCTTGTTGACACTCGAACTGCAATTAAGATGGTGGAGCCGCATCATCTTGACCAACTTCTTCATCCTTGGGTAATAATTTCCACACAACGGTACAAGCAATGAACATCTGATGTATTCTAAAACAAGATTGAATCATTTAAAGCATAGTTCTATTTGCAACCTTGTCTATGCTTCAGGCTTGGGCAATTGTTAACAAATTTAAACTTTGATGATTTTTCCTGTATTTCCAACATATTTCTTGTTTACTTTAATTAGTTCGAAGATCCATCTTCTTACAAAGACAAGGTGGTTGCTGTGGGCTTGCCTGCTTCTCCTGGAGCAGCAGTAGGGCAGATTGTGTTCAATGCAGAGGATGCGGAAGAATGGTATGCTGAAGGAAAGAGCGTCATCTTGGTATATGCTAATGAATTAGCTTCAAAAATGTATAGTATGGGCAAACAGTATTGATTCCGCTAGCTGAACGCTTTTATTGTTGTTTATGGTTGAAGGTAAGGACAGAGACCAGCGCAGAGGATGTTGGAGGCATGCATGCAGCTGCTGGTATCTTGACAGCTAGAGGTGGCATGACATCTCACGCCGCTGTTGTAGCACGTGGATGGGGAAAGTGCTGTGTTGCTGGCTGTTCTGATACCCATGTAAATGACATTGAGAAGGTCGACCTCTAAACTCTTATACCATCTTCCCTTTCTGTCCTGCGTCATACGTGTTTCATGAAAGGGGATTTTGTAATGTTACCTTATCAATAAAGCAGGTTCTTGTGATTGGGAAAATGATGCTTAAAGAAGGGGAATGGCTCTCTCTCAACGGGGCAACAGGTGAAGTGATCCTGGGAAAACAGCCTCTCTCTCCTCCGGTATTAAGTGTTGATTTGGAAACATTTTTGTCATGGGCTGATGAAATTAGGCGCCTTAAGGTTTGTACAATTAACTGCTACATTGTTCTTGTCTTTTACGTTAGTAGATAGAAAGAATCATGGTGGATATGCTGTTATAGGTTATGGCAAATGTTGATACGCCTGAAGATGCACTGACTGCAAGAAAGAATGGTGCCCAGGGGGTTGGTCTTTGCAGGACAGAACATATGGTAATGTTTTTGTCTTTCACACCTTTAGCAGCATCACATATCTGCTATTCGAATTGTTAACTATGAATACACCATCAAAGATAACAACAAAGGAGAGAATTGTGGGAAATGAAGAGAGAAAAAGCAGGACAATTGGACAAATCACCTTTTTTTTTTCTTCACGCTGTATTTCTCCTTAAACTTCAAACAATTTATATGACAGGTATTATGGAACTTTTGTTATCTGGATCACTGATTTGAGAGACAGCATTGGTCTCACAACTGGATTTGGTTATTGGCTTAATTAGTGTAGATTATCCTAGAGCTTACATGGCTACAACTAGATTTATTGAGTTTACAATCTTTCTTGTTTGGAAATTTTAGTTTTTTGCTTCGGAGGAGAGGATAAAGGCTGTGAGAATGATGATCATGGCAGTAACACCCGAACAGAGGGAAGCAGAACTAGAGCTGTTGCTTCCTTATCAAAGATCTGATTTTGAGGGAATTTTCAAGGCAATGGATGGTAACTTCCTCTTTTTATTCATTTATTTTCTTCCTTAGTTTTCTGTTTGCTGGACTGACAAATTAATAGTGTTTATCATTTTCATGTTGATTTGCTTTTTCAATTATCTTATAATAAGTGTTTCAATTTCAGGCCTTACTGTAACAATCCGATTGCTGGACCCTCCGCTTCATGAATTTCTTTCCAAGGGTGATGCAGAACAGATAGTATGTGAATTAGCTTCAGAGAGTGGCTTGAGCAAAGAAGAAGTTCTCTCAAAAATTGAGAAGCTATCAGAAGTGAATCCCATGCTTGGTTTGAGGGGCTGCAGGTTCTGTTACTTCTGATAAGCCTTTCTGAATTTCTTACTTTTGTACTAGTTCTCACAATATCCCATTGCTTTAGCCATTTATCGTAGTCTGAACTAAGACCTTCTGAAAGCACATTGAAGAAGGATTCTGAGTTTGATAACCCTTTTGATGATATTGAACTATTCCAAAACTGGATTATGATACATGCAAAAAGTAGCATGTACAGAAAACGAAAGTTCCAGATGCTTCTGCTTTGTTCTGTTGTACATTAGAGATCAACTCCCAAAACTCCAGTATGAGTTATACAGTTTATGATTTTGAGCCCTCACTTGTCATCAGGTTAGGAATATCCTCTCCTGAGCTTACTCAGATGCAAGTGCGGGCAATCTTTCAGGCTGCTGTCTCAGTCAGCAACCAAGGAGTTAAAGTACTTCCTGAGATAATGGTCCCACTAGTAGGAGCACCAGAGGTATAATTCCCTTCTGCCATTGTGTGTTTTCATTTATTTTTCTTCTTGTTCTCTTAGGTTTTTCTTTGGGAAGACTGATGTTTTAAAGTGCAGGAACTAGGACACCAAGTCTGTTTAATCCGCAGTGTTGCAAACGAAGTCTTCTCTGAGATGGGTTTTTCCATAAGCTATAAAGTTGGGACAATGATTGAGATCCCCAGAGCTGCCCTGGTTGCTGATGAAGTAAGCTACATAGATTCTCAGTCTACCATTTCTTTTACTTTGAATTTATACAAGCCAGGTCATGATCAATAACAAAAACCAGGTATCTTTCACAATTCCAACATGTTGCAACAACAATCAATCTCCAGATTGGTTTCTGGTGGAAAGATTTTTAAGATTCATGCCATTCTAGTTTGGTTAAGCTTTAGGGTATCCATGTCAGAAACTTATGTAGGTTTCTCCCCAACTTAGTTCTTACATCTTTATTTCGTTTTGATAGATTGCCAAGGAAGCAGAATTCTTCTCCTTTGGAACCAATGATCTGACACAAATGACGTTTGGGTTTTCTCGAGATGATGTAGGCAAATTTCTTCCTTTGTACTTATCAAAAGGCATCTTACAAAGCGATCCATTTGAGGTTAGTCAGCGCCATTTTCATCATCCTTAAATCCAAAGGCTTTTCAGTCGTGTAAGTGGAACATTTTGCTTGCAGGTACTCGATCGGAAAGGTGTAGGCCAACTTATTAAGATTGCAGTGGAGAAAGGACGGCAAGCCAGGCCTGGCCTAGAGGCAAGAACACAGTATAGATCAATTGAAGAGCTTCCTTATCATGATTTTTTTTTTCTGCAACGCTTATCTCTTCTCTGCCTCTTTCCAATACCAAATCTGTACCATGTTTAATGAAACAGGTTGGAATATGCGGGGAACATGGTGGGGAACCCTCTTCCATTGCATTCTTTGCAGAGGCTGGATTTGACTATGTTTCATGTTCTCCATTCAGGTAATGTGATGTTTTCTCACCTCAAAGTTGGTTTCCTTAACATTTCCAGAAATCCTAAAACAAGGGAAATTCTTGGCAGGGTTCCCATTGCAAGGCTAGCAGCAGCTCAAGTTGCTCTCTGAGTACCATCCCAAGAACAACTCAGCTCCTTCCACCTTAGTCAATATAGATCAGTCATGGATGATATTGTTCAAAAATAATACCATAGTACTAAGAAATCATCCACATTTTTGTAAATAGGAAGAATCTGCCACGGTAATGTGTTGAAATGTGTAAAAATAATACAATCACTCTCTGTGTGGATGGAAGCCTGTTCATGTAATGAAAGTTGTGTACAGTCAATCTATCTATAACATACTTAAAAAAGGAAGCAGCAAAAGAATTTCTTCCTTTAGCCACGTGGAGGGCATAGAAAAAAAGAAAGAAAAAAAAAAGGTCAAAAGAGGTCGGTGTGCAACGCGCGGACCAGCATTAAAGAAAGTGGATCTTGGGCTTGGGCCCAAAAGCAGACAGCAAAAGAATTAAAAATAAAACCCTAGAAAAACCCCTCCATAGCTTTCAAGCTTCGCGGATCACAAAGAGTGGAAACAGCATGTCGATGGAGAGCTACGTGGTGGTCCACAACATAGCAAAGAAGCACAACGTCGGAACGCTAGCTAGAAGTGCCACCGCCTTCGGCGTCAGTGAAATAATTATAGTCGGCCGCCGTGACTTCAACGCCTTCGGTAGCCACGGCTCCACTTCCCACCTCCGTTTCCGCCACTTCCATTCCCTCACCGACGCCCGCCTTTACCTCAAAGTAAACATCTTTTTCCTCTCCCTAACAAACCCATGTCCCAAAATCCCTTCTTCTTCAACCTTTTATTGAAATTAACTGTATTTTCCACTGTAAGGAGAAAGATTGTGATATTTGTGGGGTTGAGATCACCGACGGTGCCGTTTCAGTAACTGAGCATCCTTTCAAGAAAAGCACTGCTTTTCTTCTTGGTAATGAGGTAAAATCCATTTGGTAAATTTGGCTGAATTTTCTGATTATTGGGTTTTTTTTTCTTTTCTTTTTAACATTTTTCTTTCTTTATCTAATGCTTTACAGGGAACGGGGCTTTCTGCTAAAGAATGTGAGATGTGTGATTTCTTTGTTTACATTCCCCAATATGGAGGTGGCACTGCCTCTTTGAATGTCACTGTTGCTGCTTCTATTGTTTTACATCATTTTGGAGGTATTGCAAACCTCTAATCTTACTTTACAAATGCTTGTAACTGTCAGCATGCCCATTTTCTATGAGCTTTTCTAGGTGTATAAGTTTAACCAAATCGTGGTGGTTCAATTGCTTCATTTCATGGCTTTTTTGTGATTGTTAATGTGCCTTCGGAGTAGATAGTTTCTTAGTATTAAAGCTTTAACTTTTGTAATCCCCTTGAATGTTTTTTAATCACCAGTATAGTTGATTATGGGGAAGAGTGAAATCTTTCTATGGTTTCTTTTTGTGAGGTTGTTAAGGATTGTTGGGAAGATGGGTATTCTTGCCATAAATTTTAGGGAAAAACCAGTCAAGATCATTAACCTTTAAAATCCTGAAGTTTTTATAACTAGTTGTTTACAATTTCCTACCAGATTGGTTCTCCAAGTAACTAGTATAAGTTGATCAGTTCATATCCGTGAACATGTTGTATACATCTAAGTTATTGTACTTGGTTCTTTTGTTCTTATCAATTGGTCATTAGCGCCCTTTATGTGCTGATTTCAAGTTCTTATTATCCATCATGCAAACTTAAAGTAGTGTTTACCCCTCCATAGAGTTTCTTCACTTGTGTCTACATTTTATTGCTTATGTGCAACTTGTGGTCTTTACTTCAGTTGAGCAGTTAAATGAAGTCCAACTGGTTGTTGTTTAAGCTGGTGAACATGTTTCACTTGACTTTGAAGGGGATGCTAGAATTTATGTTATTTCCCTTTAACTTACTTATGCAACCAATTTGTCAATCTTCTTATACATGTCCTTGTGCAGTTTGGGCAGGGTTTTCAGAGAGAATTCGTGATGGAAACAAGTTTGTTGTGGCTGAGAAACCTTTGAAACAGGTGGGCCGAAAATACTGCCCGGAAACAGATAATTCTATCATTGAAGAGCGAAAATCAAGAAGGGAAAATGCTTCTAATGGATTCTTCGATGAAGGAAAAAGTGGTGCATCTTCTGCTAATCTTCTGGATTCAGTGTTTACTGAGGAGTGATCGCAGGAATCAAAGATCGAATTTATCTGCAGATGATAAAACTTTGCCACTGAACTTTGGAAAGTAATTTGGGCCAATGGTCCCCCTTATTGAAATGTGACAAACAGCTTCTACCTAACCATGAACTGAAGAGAAGCCCGACTTTTGAAGAAATTGCTGTCTCTGAATCCATTGAGCAAAAGGGTTACAAGGGAGTCCTTTCAGACTAGTGCGCCGTAAATGACTCTGGACAATAATTGAGTTTTGTATTAGTTTGCTTTGGTCAGCATCTTTATAAATTGTAATGGTCATATCAAGGATCACATTATTGTTTTGTATTTTATAATAATTGCCTATTAAGTATGCCAGCAGTAATTTAATTTCACGTGTATGTAGAACCCTCTCTCTCTCTCTCTATTGTCTGATGTACAATCTCAACAGGCTTCCGAGGGTTGCGACCCTATTCAACGGCCTAGGAGGCTAGGACCCCAAAGCCAAAGATTAAACTCATGGGGATGTTCATTTTCTGAGGACAGCTAACACGTTGAACCAGACATGACCACGTGTAACACATGTTTTGGCCTTAACTTTGCGCATCCTTTCTTCGTTTCTCTCTTATTTGAGATTGACATTTGTTGTTTGCATTTAAGCCGTGTCATGCTACAGGAATTAAGAGAGGAAATCCATTTCAGATTGCTAAAATCTTAGATCCAGACAAGTCTTGGTAGCTCTTTTGAGGAAAGTTTGGGATTTTAGCTGTAGCTCGATGCAAAGACCTTTGCATCACTTACGTAAGACTTTTTAGTAGTTTTGTACTTGTTACGTCCTACTTTCCTGTACATTGTGGGTCCAATAAGAAAGAAGCGAGAACCTTTGATTCAGTGGTAGTAGTTAGTGTAGTTTTGGCGTGTTGTTGAAGGAGATCAACAATCTAGCGCCAAATTTCAACTCCCGCCACTCTACTTGGGGCAGTTGGCTATCATTTGTCTTTTTTAACTATTTTTTCAGTGTCTCCATCCACAGTTCTTGCCTGCTAAATCTGTTAATTTAGAGCTTTCTTGACTACTCATCCCATGTAACAGTTGAGGAAAAACTATCTCAGTTTCCTGGGATTTTTGTGGGTAAGTGCTGAAACTTCCAATGCAGACCAGAAAGATTCAAGGGATCTTTTGCAGCAATCAAGCATCTTACATGCTGCGTATTTTCAGAAGAAAACTGTGTCAGCTTTGCTCTAGAATAAGGTGGCTGATAAGGAAGCGACCAAAGCCGAAGGTTATCATCAGGAGGTTGGGAAGGTTGAACTCGAAAGGTCAGAGGAAAGGAAATCTTGGCACCAAGAATTCCAGCATTCACTTGTATGGCGACTTGGGTTTTTCCAATCCTAAAAGGCCAATAAGAATTGCAACATTTAATGTTGCCATGTTCTCTCTTGCTCCTGCCATTTCAGAAGCTGAGGAAGCAGGTCTGTTCAGTTATGGAGAGGAGGATTATATGGCATTAAAAAGTCCATTCCAGTTCAACCTTCACACAAAGTCTCCGAATTGTTATCCAAAGAGTATACTAAAGCAATCTCCCTTGCATAATTCCCACACCAGTCCTGAAAGTCTCTCTAAGCAAAAGAAGGCCTCCAGATCGAAACTGAAGGTGTCAATCAACCTTCCTGATAATGAGATTTCATTGGCACAGAGTAAACTGCTCACCTTCGTGGATGATGTAAAAGAGGGCGCATCGGACACGATCACCAGCAGAATCAACAGGAACAATGTCATTATGAGGTCCCCTGTTTGTTTACCTTCCAGTATGATTAACTTCTGGAATGAAGGGGGCTTGAAAAGTGGTAGAAGCATTGCAGAAGTGCTTAGAGAGGTGGATGCCGATATCCTGGCTCTTCAAGATGTGAAGGCACAGCAAGAAAAAGGCATGAAGCCTTTATCCGATTTAGCTGCAGCCCTCGGGATGAAGTATGTTTTTGCTGAAAGTTGGGCTCCGGACTATGGAAACGCCATCCTGTCGAAATGGCCAATCAAGAGATGGACAGTACAAAAGATAGCTGATGATGACGATTTCAGGTGAGCATTCCTTGATTTCTGGAAAAAACAACGATGTTTGCAAAGTCATGATTCTTACTAACTTCATGTCGGGTGTTAACTCAGGAATGTGCTCAAGGCCACAATTGAAGTACCCTGGGCAGGAGAAGTGAACTTCTACTGCACCCAACTTGACCATTTAGATGAGAATTGGAGAATGAAGCAGATAAAAGCAATAACTGAATCAAACAACTCTCCCCACTTATTACTAGGAGGTTTGAACTCCCTGAATGGATCAGATTACTCATCAGAGAGATGGACAGACATAGTCAAGGTAATTCTAACACATTTGAGCTGTATTCAAAGATGGATTTTTGCTTGATCTTCCAGTACACTAGTTTTGAGACAATGCCAATATTGCAGTACTATGAGGACATAGGCAAGCCTAGACCAAGAACTGAAGTAATGAAGTTGCTGAGGGGAAGAGAATACACAGATGCCAAAGACTATGCCGGCGAATGTGAACCAGTGGTCATCATAGCCAAAGGCCAAAGTACATGACCTATCTTAGTATATTCTTTCCCCCTTTTTACATGTTTTCATGCTTGTTTATATGAATTCTGCTGTTGCAGATGTTCAAGGAACATGCAAGTATGGCACGCGTGTGGATTACATTTTGGCATCATCAAATTCCCCATACAACTTTGTTCCTGGATCATACTCTGTCATTTCATCCAAAGGTACATCAGATCACCATATTGTTCAGGTTGATATGGTGAAAGGAGGCGAGAAATCTCGGCAAAATGTCATCAAAAGACACCGGAAACCTACCATGAAGAAGATCATACGCGTGACAAACTCTACCTGCTCTTCTGGAGGCATATGGAAATTAAATGCTTGAAATTGGTTTTCCTTCTCATTGTCATTAAGATAGCTTCAATGCTCGTATTGGGTACTTGAACCAAAATAAATTGCATGTATATCAATATCTATTCCTGATGTCTGACACATAATTTCACAGAAATTAATGTAAAATATAGATCAAGCATGTGTATTTACAATGATCTTTCACTCTTTTTCTTCCTACTGATTATCAAAATGAGCAGCAGTTTGCTAAGTCATTGGTTGGCAAACCACCACAAGCCCATAATCCAGGGGTCAAACATGGAGCAGAATATATAATTTCCAGAAGGCTAAGCGAATTTCACAAGTCATTCTCTTCAAAACAACTAACAAGCATTAATTAAAATTAATTAAAATCAATTAATTATACGTTCAAGTTGCTAGTTGAAAATGAAAGCATTCTGTCAGAGATTAAATGAAAGAATGTTCAACTTGTAAGCTGATTAGACATGAGATTAAATTTATTCTTGAATGCATTCACTTAAGAATTTTTAAACACTTGTAAATTAGATGCTTATTTTGCAAGGTAAATCAAAGTCTACTCCCCATTAAAGAGGCCAAAGACATTTTACTTTCGATTTGGGCCGAAGAAACTGCTAGAATTCAATTCAATCAGGTTATCAAATCAAATAAAAAATCATCACAACTAGAGGAAATAAATTCATATAAATACAGAAAATAAATCTTTATTTGGGTAATATTTTATATTTAATGTGATATAATAACATGATATATTAATATATCGTGATAAGCGATTACGTATCATAATAATACTCATTAAAAGTGATGCAATAAATGCAGTCGGTTGAACGATAAATCTTATTTTCATCATTAAAATTAAGTTTAATAAAAAAAGTAATGGTTTCATTTTATTTTTCCTTAGTGTTAATGATTTAACTAATAAATACCCAAAGACAAAGATTAATTGCAATCAAGATTTGTTACTAATATTAATTAATTTTTGAAAATACCAATAGATGCGTCCCATGCCTTCTATCGAAATGATTTTACTTTTCAGAAAGAAAATTATTAACCATACAAAGGAAAATATCATTAACTCAGACCACATTAATTATTTATGAGAAAAGAAACTTACATACATACTAATTCAAGGGAATGAAAAATGGCACATATCCATCCTTCCATCATTCACTTGTTATATTAATTGCACGAACTTTATTTAAAAAAAGAAACAAAAAGTACAAAACTTGATTGACATTACAGAAACTTTAATTAAGAAACTTTTTTATGGAAGAAGCGGATCGATCTTATTCGAAGATTGATCAGTTGAAGGATACCCAATGCCATGGCGCTTGACAGGGAACCATATGAATGCTAAAGAAACTACGAACGTAATCGGGGGCAGTAAGACAAGGCAGAGCAAGGCCGTGGCACTGGTTGCAAACGATGGGTAGAAACACTCCACGGTGTTAGGTTCCAAAAGGACCAAGACAGCAAACACGACTGATGAAAAGAAAGCATGAACGAAGTCGCCAAACCTCAGCTTGTAGCTCGACAAGTCCACTGATTCCGAGTTGGGTGATGGCCAAAGACCCTTAAAAGTTGCTACCCCATAATGAGTTTTACCGTCACTCCCTTTGTAACTGTCGGTGAAGCTGCCGAAGATGCAAGAGAAGCCGCAGAGGCCAATGAGGATGCCCGACAAGTACTTGTTGAGCCTGTCGCAGTTGCCATTGTCGGTGAAAACAGGGTTTAGGAAGTGGAAAACGAAGACTGTTCCTGTTGGAAGGAACTTGATAAGGTTGCCGATTTTCGAGCATATTGAATCAAATTCCATCTTGGGTTTGTTTTGCTTTCAAACCAGGAAGGAACCCTCGGAAGAAATGTTTCAGGATTTGCAGTATAGTGAGCCTGTTCTTGTATGTATTTATAGGGGAAGAATCTGACTATATGAGTAAAAAAACATCTTAGGAGAAATTGGAGAGAATGGATAAAGAATATGGAGAGGATTGCTTCCACGTAAAATTCAATGAAGTAATCAGAGAGATGCGTAGAGGACCTAATGAGGATAGAATAATAGTTAGAAACGTAAAACACTTGCTTTGAGCTCAAATCTGTTAACAAATTGTTTTCAAGGTATGCAGAATCTTGCATAATTTTTGCCTTTAACCTTGCAGAATTGGAAACTTCTTGCACTGAATGTGGTCTCAAATGAACATGTGAGACAAATTAAGCATCAACCAATCATAAGGAACCCAACTTACATACCAAGAAGAATCATATGACATTGTTTTTTCTCATTTTTTAGAGGGATAAATCAAGGTTCTAATTGGCTCTAGGATCCCTTACGTAACACTTTTTTTGCTTTGGTTGAATGTGTCAGACTAGTATTGTTTAAGGCAAACTATGCTTAATCCAGAGTACTATATCTACTGCAAAGGGGTTGCTTGTTTAACACAATTTGATGAAGAAGCAAACCTACCTATCAATGCCTTCAAACATTGTCGGTAAGGTTTTTATTATCTTGGGAGTCAGCTAATCAGATTGCCTGGTATCGTCAAGAGACAGACCATTTTTCGGAGGAAACTGTCAAGTTTCTGATTATTATTTCTTGGCAAAAGATAAAGAACAAGATAATCCAGTTCATGCAAGCTAATTAAGAACTTTATTGGGTGTTGCTTGGATGTCAAACAAACGTGCTAGGACCTCTAATTCTAGGGAAAAGATAGTTAAACTTGACTTTTCTGCAATGGGGGAAACCATATAGTATTAAAAATGCACGACATTTGAAGCAAAACTAATGGAGATGTTTAACTACCAGTCTGATCCCCTCATTCAACCAGATGATTACAATCTCTAAAGCCTTTGCCTGTTGAAAGGTAAGAGGGCGGCCGCCCCTTTGCAACGGGAATGCTATAGTGACTGAAAATGTCCCCATGCATGGATCATTGTCCTTTGCCATCTCCCTTTGGCCATTGTCCAATTTGACATGTTCTTTTACTTACTCTTCATCTCCTTCTTTGATTGTTTGGTGTTGAATTTAAGTACATAATTTGCACTGAATTTCATTGCATGGTTTACGTCAACGACCTTGATCATAATTAGTTTGGAGCAAAAAGATGATGAATCAATTTTTTCACTTGTTTGGAATTGAGAAATCCAAATTTGAACTTGCTGCTTAAATTCCCTACCTTTAACCCTTTTTTTTTCTTGCAAACCAAACATAATTAAGTTATTGCTCATCATGAAATTTCAAAAAATAGTTATATATCTTTTTATAAATTTTAACACTTAAGTTTTCGAGATTAATTACGTAACAATAAATAAAAAATATTTAAATATTGTTAAAAAATTATTTTAAAATATATCATATGCGTTGAAATTTAATCTATTATTTATCTTTTAAGTTTTTCAAATTAATTGGTTCACATTCCAAACATCTCTTATAATTTTTTTTGGTTCTTTATGATGAAAAACGTCATCAAAAGAATTTCATTGTGATATTATCCAAGTTTTGAGCCCTCATTTTTCGTTACAATTTGAGACATTCTTAAATTGCATGATCCATATGCTAATAAAAAGAATTTTGATCATTAATTAGGACATGAAATTATCTTTTTAAGTTTTGTATAATGAAATTTTCTTTTATTTTTTCAATTTAAAACTCGTTTTCAAAGTTAAGAAAAGCTTAGAAGGAAATATACCATTATCTCATAATACATCAAACCCTAGTACATAAAATAATTCAAGGGGTCCTCCTCCTCCCCTCTTACATTTCACCAAACCAATATTTTGATTACAAAGTAAAAAGGGAAAGAACAAACAAAGAAGATTACAAATTTTTTTCTAACAATCCTGATAAACCAATTAATATTTATTCATGAACCAAGCAAAGTAGGAGTCGTCCTAAGAGCTTGAGGAATCAGTACTCGAACGGTAGCCTATGCCCTGGCGGCTGTTAGGGAATGCCATGAAGACTGCTCCCGAGATTGCACCGATGACAGGAGGCAAAGCCATGAGCAAAGCCTTCTCCGTAGACTCAAACGATGGATAAAAGCACTTCACGGTGTTGGAATCCAACAGAGACAACACGGCGAAGACGATGACAGAGAAGAATGCATGGACGAAGTCGCTGATCCTCAGCTTGTAGCTTGACGAGTTAGATGAACCCGAGTTTGTAGAAGGCCAAATACCACTAACCGTGGCTATACCATAATGAACTAGCCCGTCGCTGCCTTTGTAGCTATCTGTAAAGCTAGCCAAAGCACAGGAAAGGCCGCAAAGTCCAATGAGAATGCTGGTGAGGACCTTGTTGGCAGGGCTGCAATCACCATTTTTGGTTAGGACAGGGTTCAGGAACTGGAATATGAAGACAGTTCCTGTCGGGAGGAGCTTGATAAGGTTGGAGAGACCTGTAAATGTTTTGTCCGAGACGGAAGTTGACGAGGAAGAGCTGCTGGATTTAGCCATTTTTGGTAGGGTTGGGGAGATGGATGCGGGGGTGAAGTTCCTTAATTTCCTGGAAAATGAGGTATTCCTGAGGAATATTTATAGAGAGAAGGGGGCCGGTGGAGGTTGAGAGATAGGAGAGAGTTGCTTGTACGTAAAATTGGGCTCCTATAGATAGAATGGTTTTGCTTCTACTCTTCGAGAGCTTGCTTTAAGCATGAAGTTTGAACCCTTTATTCAAAGCCAACATGCCTTATCTTCAATCAATTTTCCCATGAACCAAACATTCAAAGCAAATCATTAAGCTTTGATTTCAACATACAAACCAATTATTTATAAGTCGGAGCATCCAAAATGTACAAGATTTTAATTATAAATATTATTATGAAGTTTTAATTTGGGTCAGACAAGTAAATGATCTCATTTTTTACATAAAACAGGGTTTGCATTCATCACTACTCGATTTGCTTTCACTTACAAATTTCTAATTAATCAATTTGACTAAATCAATTAATTAATTAATGACTCTTACTAGATAGAGTATTATAATTTTATTTAAGCCAGCAATATTTATCCTTATCCCAATACCCTTTTTAGTTGATTATATTAAGACCCATATTTAAAAACATGTTATGTTAATTAATTATTTGCCATTGAGAGCTATTATTAAGCTAAATATATATAAACCCCTAAAATAAGTATTGCTTGAGAGATGTGCAGTCATTTTTATGCTTGTTTTAAGTGCAAATAGAAGTTGATATGTGAGCATTGCGTCAAATTAAAGATTTGCATAATCAACAAGACAATTAAGTCTTGTCAATTGTTAATTAAAGCCGATTGAGTAGGATATTAGCACTCGAAATTGATTAATGATATTCGGTAATTGCTTGAAATTGTTTATTTAGTAAATATCCGATAAAAAACTTGAATTCAATCTTATCCAACCCAGAATTTTAATTTTATAAATTACAATATTATATTATAAATTTTTTTTTAAAGAAACTGGTCATTTTTACAAAGTAAACTTAACATGATAACCTACTTCTAAATTCACATTAAAAATAATAATTAAATATGAAATAAAATATCAATTGTGACATCATTTATATTATTTTGTCAAGTTATTACAAAATCATAAATTGGACTAAGGTATTGAGAGAAGATGGATTTGCCAAGGTTCAAATCAGGATATTTGCAAAATTTAAGAATTTTTTTCCTTCATTCAACCAGATTGAAACGAATTTTATTCAATATCCACATCTAATTCTATTTATATATAAACAATTTTGAGTAGCAAAAATCTTAACCCTCAAATTCAAATTCCATCCAAAAACGTTTCGAGTATTAATTTTTCAATCCAAAATCTACTTGTATTCATTTATAAATATCCAAAACTGTATTAATCGAGTTTAATCGAGAATATCAGCTAATAAATTGTACAATTACCGTTTTTAATCTAATTGCCAAATTGGTGCCTGATTTTGGGTCACAACTTTGGTGAGCAGCTCGATCACTATCAGGCTAATCTTCCAACTCCTAAGGAGAGTATTGTACAATCTTATGGTTGTTTCTTTAAATGGGTCAGATGCTTTATACGTAATTTGAATATGGAATACGGAACTTACAAAATTAATACTTATTGAAGTTTCTGTGATCTAGTTAATTAGATTTTCCTAGATGCAATTATCATGGTTGGTGTAAGTGAGCTACTTTGAACTAGAAACTAAATCAAAATTGTCTCTTTTAGAATGTGATGAACCTGGCCTTTGAATTTGCAAGTAACTTTTGCTGGCTACTAAAGTATTCATTGATTCATAATAAATGAATAATTAAATAAATTAATCTCTTGCTTTTCATCTTTGGAATTGGACTCACTCACCTAGAAATGAATGGCATGAAATATGGGAGTATGGGATGAAAGTAGGTGATTTGGGTCATCCACTGTTAGGCAGAAGGGCTTTCAAGGCTGGCTCTAGTCTCATTACTGCTTAACATCTGTCTTAAACTCTGAGAACACGGCACAGGCCCACATAGGAAGCATGCACCTGCGCTTCCAAGTTCCATCCATGGCCGGGCATTTTCGTCTTCGTAATTAAATGGGTTGGCTGGAAATGAATGAAATAAAATTCAACGACAAAAAAGTATTTACCCAAAAATGGCTGAAATAAACCAATGATTACTGTGTATAGCTTTGAATTATATGTATTTATCTTCATGGTCAATATATGCATAAGATAAATTAATATGCCCCCCCTCAAACTTTTGGATTCTTTTTTCCAGTTTCTTGCTTGCAAGAGCACCAAACCTATTCAAAGATTTGAAAAAATGGTAAAAGGGTTGGAAGAATTAGCAATCAAATCTTTGCACATCACAAACTCACAAAAGAAAGAAAAACAAAAATAAGAGTCTTGTCTTGAGAATCCAAGGGGAAAGAAAAAATCTCCTCCCCTTGTACCTAAACATGATAGAGACCTTCCGATAGGAAATTAGGAGGAAGTCAGGAAGTGACTTATCATACCAGCCTCGTCCAAATTGGAGACTGAAATCTCCAAACAACTAATAGTATCCCTTTACTTGCAGTAACACACACTGCATCAAACTTTTTTGCAAGCAATTTCCTTTATTGCCAACTACTTTTGAAATAATTTCACGTTCCCCAATCTTCCATCATAGTTCAAGAGAAAATTAAAACATTAATCATCGATCATCTGTCTGATTATATTTATGATAATAAAATGTCGCAATCCACATCAACCTGCAAACCTCATAAATTGAAAATAATATAAATACTTAAATATTCAATCGATTCTCCTATATGATTGTGACACGATGCATGCATAAATTCTTACCATAAATTTTCGTAGTTCTTCTCTAGGAAGTCATGAATGAATGGTCACGATCTCCTCCAAATCAATGAGAGGAATGCAAAAATAATAATAATAATTGAAGCAAATGTGAGACCTCAATTTATGAGCATTAGATTTTTGTGTTGCATGGTTCAGATTGAGGGAGGGCCCATGGTGCACAAATTGGGACAAGACTCGGAAGCCATCGCCCCATGCCCACATAACGTGAAAGGATTCCACACGGCTCACGCCAAGCCGACACTGCCACCACAGAAGGAAAGGCGTTTCAAGTCTTTAATCATGAGTCTCCCCTTTCCTCTGCCTTCCATTCCTTGAATTAAAAGGAAATTAAAAAAACAAACAGAAATCTAAAGATCCATTAACAAAAGATAAACTATAAAGAAATCTGCTCAGATTACTCCCTAATTTATCTTTTACTTTACAACAAAGGGACGAGATTGCAAATCTCTCTTACAATTTTTTTCTTCTTCACAACAGAGCACAACACAGATTCATTACAGCCCGACATTTAAAAACCCAACCCCACACCTACAATTCCTTAATATTACATTTCAACCCCCCTTAATTTTTCTTCCTTTTTCTTTTTTCTTCATCATCCCATAATAAGAGACAGACCCACACTTTTTTTTTAACCCATAAACTGATACAACTTGGAATATTTATCTAATCGCCCCTAATCTTTTCTCCGATTTTCAAATCCGTCCACCGCTTTGTAAAAAATATCACGGAGGTAATCGGATCTTGAAATATCCGGAGAGATCTAACTAGAGACGAACCGATCGCGAGAGAGAGAGAGAGATAATGACGAAGACATGGATACTTCTTTTTTGGATCCAAATCTACATTCGGATATCAGAGATCAAGTCGGAGCAGGCGACGGAGATCCCTAGTAGCTGAATCATCGATAGAAACCTGTTTTTTCTTCGAGAAAGACGGCAAAGGAAGCGAACTCGGAGCCGGAGAGACCGCGAACGCAGATCCGGCGTACATGTCAGATTTTGCGGTCACCGCAGACCTAATATCCACAATCCTGATCTGCTTCCGGACCATTTCAGGACCCGGACCCAAACGATCCGTACCCGTAACAACCAACCCGCCTTCCCTTCCACCGCTGCTCTTGATCTTCGAATCCAACGACTCTCCTCTTCTCAAAATCGTAACCTTCTCCATCGTAACATTGTTCCTCACCGTCTTCAAGTCATCGACGGAACCAGATCTCTTCGTAATCGCCTGCTCCGACCCGGTCCGCTTCCTCTGAGCGGGTTTCCTGTTAAATCTACCATTTCCGCTGTTGTTATTGTTATTATTATAATAATAACTAGGGTTAAAGCTACCATTTCCGTATCTCCGGCGAGAACAAGCCGCCGGAGCAACCCGGATCCTTTCGATCAAACAATCCTGAGGCCGTAAAACTTCAGTCCCCATATTAATTTACCGGAAACACCCCCCAAGAAATTTAAAAGAAACGGAGATTTAGAAGAATAAATTTACAAAAAAAAAAGGAAGGACTCGAGAATTCTACGATCTCTTCTTCCTCATAAGGGGAAATCAAAGGAAGAAGGGAGGGTCGCTTGATCTTTCCTCTTTTTTTCTTAAATTCCCTTCCTTTTGTTTGCTCTGGCTGTGAATATAATCTGTCGAGAGGGAAGAGATAAGGGAAGGGAAATATATAGGTGGGGGGGGGGAGGGAAAGAAATGGCGGAGGAACAAGAGGGTGGGGGTCGGGTTCGTGGTGAGCTTCTTCGGTCTTCGTCTTTGTATTGACGCGTCAAGTGGGACCCTCACCCCCCGGGCGGCTCGGGTTTGAAGTGACCGGGGTCCATGTCATGTAGAACCCATTAAACTGGGTTGTTTGTTATAACGGAGACCGTTAAGTGATTGGCTTTTGTTCAATTGTCGTTACTGAAGTTCGAATTTGAGAGCATAACGGAGGTTTGGTGTCGAAATTGTTAGTTGTCGGCTTGTAGGATTTTTTTTCATTTTTTATTTTTTATTATGGGAAATGCTTTTGCTCTTTTTAAGGTGAGGGGACCACACCGGTTAATGACCTAGCCTTTTATTTATGAGGTGAACAGTGGTATGTTTTGCTTTACTGTGTGCCCATTAATCAAATTCGTTACTTTTTCTTTTATTTCTTTTGTTTATAATTTATGTATACATAAAGAACAAAACTTGCCATAAAAAAAGCCTTGTAAAAAATAAAAGGAGTAATTTTGTATTGATGGGACAGAAAGATGGCAGGTCTCTTATTAGAAATATTAGCCTTTCACTTACAACAAACTTTCAAACGGTAAATATATTGCCCTGATATAATTCATTGACCGCATCAAAATGTTAAATATATAAATAAATATATTTATTATATTTATTAACACAATTAATATATTTATTAAATAAATAAAATTAAATTTTATGACATGACAAAATCTATTTAATAACATTAACACTATTAATTGGTTTAAATGAATATTATAAACGAGTCAAATCGATCATATTGTATGAATCAATATAATTAATTAAATTTATTTAATATATAAAATATAATAATTTTATATTTAAACCCGTTTAAGTATGTATCATTTTTTTTATCGTATTAATCAATCATGTCTACTTTTCACCATCAACTATTGGCAATTTTTAGTAAGTGTGAGTACTAGATGCTTAAAATGAAAATTAGTTTCCCTTATGGAAATTAGGGTTAAATATATTAATACATGTTTCTTAGAAATAGGACTTTGCCTAATTAATAAGTTTTTTTGCTGTTTAAATAAAAACCTTTTTAAGTAAAGGTGAATTTGGCTCACAACAAGACAACTACATTAACTACCACACCTACTAATTAATTTTTCTAAAAATTGTAAATAACTTGTTCTTAAGAAAATTACATCAACTAAAAATAAATGTTACTAAAAAATTCATTACTAAAAGGAAACCTATTCTTATAATTTGGTTCACACCATGAAATTTTAAGTCCATTATTTGAATTAATTTTTATTTTTATTCATTTATAACTTTCTCTACGTGATAAATTATCAATTATGATCGGATACGTTAAATTTTAAAATATAAAAATAAAGTTAATTTCTTAAATTGAGATCAAATATTGATGCTATCTTTTATTTTATTTAATTTAGAATCAAATGGGAAATTGTTGACATTTTTATGCATGAAGTGGTCAAAGAAAACTGTGGATATTTCCCTATTCTAAGTCATATTTGGAGTGTGATTCACTCTTGTTTGAGCCAGCTAGCACCGAGCCATATAAGCATTGACAGTGAAGCTTCAATTTTTTTAATATTCAAATAAATTATTATTGTTTTTTTTTTAAGTAGACAGGTGGGACTGAAATTTTCAACACAATGAAGAGCATGGGAATTTTTAAATGATAAATTATTATCAAGAAAAAATATATATTTATGAAATAACGTGTCGTGTTTGGGAAACATAATACTTTTTATCGTTTAAAGATACAAAATTTTAAAAAATCATGGATTTATTTATGATGCCGTGACAATGTTAATAACCTTGTCGCATATTAAATTATTGGACAGAATTAAACTTATATGATAATATTAATTTATTTAGTTGTTCATTTATTTTGAAGAAAAGAAAAAAATTATTTTATTTTACCACCTTTTTATCATTCATACAAATTTGGGTAAAATACTCTCACTTTTAAATTTTAATCAAAATTTTAAGTGAATTTATTAATTTTTGTAATGGATATTCCGTCAAAAAAATTATATTTTACTGGATACATAAATTCAATTATTAGTAAACCGTTAATTTGATGACATGATAATATTGAAAGGATAATTTTATACTTTATTAATTTTAAAAATTACTATAATATAATTTTTTTAAAAAAAATGAAAAAAGCACTAAATGGTGCCTGGGAAAGAGCATGTCTTGTTTTTTTGAATTTTTTTTAAATTATATAATAATTATTTTTAAAATTAGTAAAAAATAAATAGTATTTTAATATTTTCATATTTTTTATTAACAGTTTTACACTTTTGAAGGGGATTATTCATTGTTAATATTAATGAATTCACGTGAAATTATACCTAAAAGTTAAAAGATGAGAATATTTTATCTTAAACATTTAACTAGAATAATTGTTTATATATTTTTAATCATCATTCATATTAATATACATTAAAAAGAGAGGTTAAAATGTTTGACAATTCCATTATCTAAGTAGTCATATAAAATACATCATTACATACTATTTGTGTACAACTAAACAATAAAAAGTTGAACAAAATGACATTATTATATTAAAAAAATTCTAAATTTAAAACAATCATATAGTTATGACTATGAAAAAAAGATTATATGCTTAGAATCCAATTAGCATCTGACTCGGATCAAAAGTTAATTAATTTAATTCCATGGTTAGGAAATCATTAATTTAGGGTTTTCACATGTTATGGTTATTAAATGGTATTCTTTCTCCTGCTCCCTAATGTTTCTTTATTCAAGATCATTGCAACTTGGCCTCTTGATTTGCACTCATTTCTCTAAATTATTGCTAGGCCCCACAACTTTTTTTTTCTTCCAAAAAAGTATATTAATCAAAGTTTTAAAATAAAGATTTTTTTTTTTTATCTTTATCATTGAATCAGACATCAAAATCATGTTACTGTTTGTCGAGACATGTCAAGGGCTTCGCATAGTTTTTTTTTTTTTTTATATTCCACACCTGTCTAAAGATAATATACAAAATAATGAGGAAATCTTTAATCTTGATTTTAATCTTTAAATTAATGTTAACATAGGTTTAAGAGCTTAAAAAAGTTCCCACCAAGGTTAATTACTTCAAAGTCAATAGTGATTTTTAATTACTATATATTTTTTAAATATATATAATTTTCTATGTACTATTTCTAAGGTAAATTTTATTTATATTTTTTGTAATTTCATTTTTTTCACACATCACCTTTCTTGGTTTTTTTTTCTTAATTAACACTTTTGGATAATTTTTGTTTAAGTTTTTATTTATTAACATTTAACAGTTTTTTTGGTAATTTTACTGAACAAAATTAATAGTTTAATCTTTTGTGGAAACACAAGTTATCCACAAGGCGCATATTAAAAAAATAAATATATATAAAAAATATATTAATGGAAAAAAAAAGAAACAACAATGTGTTATCTTGAAAAAGTTGAAACTACAAAATATGTAATTAAAATTTATCTTTATTTTAGGAAATTACCATATTACTCTCCCAAATGTTTGATATTAACCTGACATGATTTAATTGCATTATGATTCTTTTCTTAATAAAACTAATGAAGCTCTCAATGGTAACAGTATGAAAAAAATTGAAATATTCTTGGAGAGAAAAGGGCAAGTTTGACTTATCACAAGAAGGTGCTCAAATCAATCAAGTGCTTTGCAAAAAGTATATAATTTCCTTTCCTTTTCTTAAAGAATAAAATTGAGTGGACCTTTGATTATCTGGTTCTGGTCCCAAGTACTTCCCAATAATTTTCCACTAAAAAAAAGGAAGAAAAATAGACAGTGAAATAAAAAAAAAGGGGGAACAAATCTGATAAAGAAAGGTGGGGTTTTCCAATTTTCAATTTTTGAGAAGTGAAGTGTAAGGAAGCAATAATGCTCTCTTGTCTCCCATCTTCATTTCCCTTTATATAAAAAGAGTGCTGCATTGGGAAGCATAAGTGGAAACATCCTCCTAGAAAGAAAAAATAGTATAAAATAAAAAATAAAATATAAAGATTAAAGCATAAAGCTAAAGTTTATGATGAGAATTGAGAGCCATGGGGAAGCTTTTTAAAGGTTCATGCCCTTTAGAAAAACAATATAGGTGGTCATCCATGGGGATGGGGGATTTTTTTTTTTTTTTTGCCTTAATACCCAATGAGAGTTGACCTGCCATGTGGAGCTTTTCTTTGGATTTGTTTGTGGACTTTGAACTAGCTAAGCCAACACCTTTGGGTGAAGTTATCACTATTTGGTCAAGTCTTGAGCAGTACCCTGTTGGTCAAAACTGGGTTGCTGAAGACAATAACTTTGTTTCAGTTGAATTGAATTGCAAGGGGGTGCAATAAATTTAGTTTGAATGTGAAAGGAAGATGGGAATTTGCTTGTCACATTCCCTAAAGCCACAAGGCTGAGAACAAGCTACCTGTCACTACCCTTTTTGATGTTTAGAAGGAAGAACATTCCGCTCAAATTCAATGCTTAAGTACAGATAACAGTGAACTTAATTATTGCTAAAATACCATTACATTGTTCATCAAGCAAAATGGTCTGGTCTAATTTGGTTCCACTGATAAAATAGGCCCAAAAATTAGTACAGATCCCCTTAATGTATAGGAACTGGTTCTAACAAGGACTGAAGTGGAACTGACCCATGTTCACCAATGAGGCTAAGAGGATGAATCTAGGCTAAGGAGATGAATCTAAGGACAGAGTGAAGGCAATTAATTTGCTTTTTCTTTTTCCGTTGTGGTGTGGTTTAACTCATGTTGGAGAATCTTTTTTTTTTCCCTTTCAGTTAATTAATATGATGCAGATCAGTGAATTTGGCTTCTGTTCACTTCATTTGCCCACTTGTGTTGATTTTCAGTGATGTAGATTTTGGGATGGATATAATGATTTAACTTCGTGGTCCCATAATTTGCCCGCTGATGCTGATCTCCTAGCTAGGCCTGGGAAGTGCCGGATGACTCAGGCATCTGGTTTTGTTTTTTGACAACCTACATACTTATCAACTCCCACTACAGCTGTTTCCAATCAATATAGAACTATAGAAGTTATACATATGCTTCTGAAATTCTGATACGATATGAGTTGGAAGGCACCTGCTTTAGAACCAAACTCACTATCAAATCTGAACTATGTTATTGCCAGATTACCATATCAAAAGACCTACCACTAAGTTTTACCTTTTTGTAATGACTTCAGAATCTTGGCTCCAAAGCCTCAAACCCAACAGTTCTTACCTCACATGTTTTTTATGTTATTGGGTTTTGGTCGGTTTCCTGGCATGTTTTATTTTCCATGACTTTGTGGACCATTTTGGTTTCCTGGAGACTCAACTGATTTCTAACAACATGATCAACATGGCTTTCTTAGCTTATTTTTGAAGTTAGGCAGTTCATATATATTGACTCCACTGCTTCTGCAATGGGCAGGCAGTCCCCACGGCAAGCATATCAGCTCCCAGAGAAGCAGTTCTGCTATAAAACCATGCAGAAGGAAAGGATGAACCACTTTTCCAGGTGGTTAATGGGCTAGTTAGCTGTTGGGGAGGAGACAGCCAGGTCTTCACCAGAAACCATACTGAAACAGGAAGCCCATTTTCCTGAAGACAGCCTGCCAAGCCCATGAAAGAGGATTCTCACTTGACAAAGCCACCCTAGCCAACCCCGATCCCACTTTAGGACCAAACCCTCTGCCCAATTCTGATGCAGAAAGCCGAAAAGGACAAAAGGAAATCAGCAGTGTAAGAATAACCAGACCACTAGAACCTTTTTGTCTCTTGCCTATCCATTCACAAGCCACATGTTGGTTCTTGTTTTATCGAAACAATGTTATAATCAAAAGAACAACAACACCCACACACTCTCAATTCTGACCCCATGTGCAACTGACCAAATCCCCGTCCATCCAATCCCCATTACCTTTCATGCACGATAAAAAGAAATTAAAAAAATAATAAAACGGAAAAAAGTAAGCAACAATAGCATAGAATAGAGAAGATTGGAGAGAGAAATGTTGGGGAAAGAATCGGGTGGTTCGACCTTCGATCTTCCCGAGGAAGTCTTGCAAGTACTACCCTCTGATCCATTCGAGCAACTCGACGTGGCCCGCAAGATCACCTCCATTGCACTCTCCACGCGCGTCTCCTTACTGGAAGCTGAGTCTTCTTCCCTTCGGCTCAAGCTCGCCGAGAAAGACCAACAAATCGCCGACCTTTATGAACAGATCGACTCCCTCGATGCTTCTTTGTCTGAAACCTCGGATAAACTCGTTAAGGCCGACCAGCAGAAGGTCCGACCTTGGCATTGACTTTAATTTCTTGCCCTTTTCTAAGAAATAATTAAATGAATAATTGACTTTTTTTTTTCTCTTTCTGTTTTTTTTTTTGGGTAGGCGGGCTTGATGAAAGATAATGCTTCGCTTTCCAACACTGTAAGGAAGCTTCAGAGAGATGTTTCCAAGGTAAAATGTTAATGGGGTTTGACTTTTGGTTCATTGGTTGACAAAAGCTTGTAAATTTTTATTTTTTTAATACAATTTAGTTATTCAGAGAAAAAGAAATTTGATTGAATAAAAGGAAGTAGAAGAAGAAAGTGTTTCGATGTATTTATAATATGAGTTATATAACAGTTGAAATGGTGAGGATATTCTGACATTCATTCAAAATAAAGGGTGCCCATTAAATTTTTATAGCCAATGTGGCCTTCTTAGATGCCCGGTAAGGGAAGGCATAAGCATTTCATGATGATTTGTAATGTTATCATTTTGTGGGTTATGTATTTATTTTGTGGTACAAAATGATGAGAATTCTAGAAATTTGAGAGTGCCCTTCATAGATGCCTCTGAACAAGCAAGGGGCTGATGTGGTTTGAGCTAAATGGTCTTTGGGAAAATGGCAAGTAGGGTATAAGCATTTTATTAGACAATGTAGTCTGAGGTTGTACTGTTTTCCGCGTGCACAGTTGGAGGTCTTTAGAAGGACACTTATGCAGTCGCTTCAAGAGGATGAGGAAAGTTCTGTAAGTTGTTTTCCACCGGTGTTCTCCATTGATTATTCCAAGAATTGTTTCTTCTAGGATAATGTGTTGAAGTTTTTGGACTTGCTAACTTTGCTATAGTCAGGGGGTCCCCAGATCATTGTGAAGCCAACACCATCAGGTATACTATTTTCCTATTGACTGAGTTGAGCTCGTTTAAAGTTCATTCATGCAGTGTATCTATAGTCTAGATTGAATCTTTAATGCATCAATAAAAGGTGCCTTCCTCATAGTTCTTGTTGTGATGCTTAAGGCTTTAAGCTGTTGGTCAGTGCTTAAACATTTTTCCTTTCATTATGATATAACCCTTGGTTTGTTCTGACCTTTTCAGAAGATGATGTTACTTTGCCTTCAAGAACTTCTTCAATGCGCAGCCAATATTTTGATATGGGAAATTCATTAGTGGAGGATCGTGACACAGATGGTAAGTCTTTGTTGGTTTTGGCAGTGTGGCAGAATTTTTTCATAAACATGATTATTTCAACTTTAGATGTCTTCCACACATTACTGAAGTTCTTCCTGTTTCTCTGTTCATGGATGGTTGTTCAAGCATGCGTGGTATCATGCAAAAAATGCAAATGTTTGCAACTGAGTCAATTCTTTTCCATTTCTTACTCAATACTGTTGTCTATTTTTCTTACTAAGTACCATCATAATTGCAGCCTCACGACCTGGTATACCACATAGCATCCTGCTAGCGTCACAAATAAGCACACCTCGGCTAACTCCTCCAGGTTCTCCACCAAGTTTGTCAGCTTCTGTATCTCCCACAAGAACATCTAAGCCAGTGTCTCCTAAGAGACATTCAGTTTCATTTTCTACCTCAAGAGGCATGTTTGATGATAGGCTGCCAATGTCAAGCTGCGACAGTGGATCACAGACAGGTTAGCTTCGAAACTTTCTTCTAGAATAAGAACTTACTCAGAATCTAATTGCTTGTAGGGCTGGATGTGGTAGTTATGCAATACCAAATGAACTGCTAACAAAGAACTCTAAATGTCAAACCATCTTGATATTAACATTAACTGCAAGTGAATGTTGAAAAGAGAAGAAAGGAAATGAAAAACAGTGTCACTGGAGCTATATAGATGTATATGTGGCTGTGGCACCCCACTATTTTAATGTTGCAACGATCATGAAATTTTATTTCCTGATACTGGAAGAGTTTTTAGATTTTATGATAAAAGAAGCAGCTTAACTAATTTTAAGGAAGCAACTATATAGTATTTAACATATGACTTCTTTCTGGATATGTGTCAGGACGCACTCGGGTTGATGGAAAAGAATTCTTCCGCCAAGTCAGGTAAATACATCCATAATATGAAAACATATAATTGTGGAAAGATTAAACTGTTATGTACACTGAAATATGCAGAATCTACATATCTGATCAAAGACCTTATATTTATCAGTTTAAGGAAACACCCATGTGAATTTGATCAAAATTCCTCACAGTTTGTTCTTGGGTATTGATTTATATCACCAGCTTTGAAGTTTTGCCTGCACCTGAAGGCATGGCTTATAACAAATTGCCTATCTGACCACCACTTTTGTTTCATCAGGAGCCGTTTGTCTTACGAGCAGTTTGGTGCCTTCCTGGCCAATGTTAAAGAGCTAAATTCCCACAAGCAAACGAGAGAAGTATATAACTTGTTTTCCTTTTTTTTTTTCTGAAATTTGTTTCTCATTGTAACATGTTCATCTCCTTGTTTATCTGAATTGTCCAGGAGACTTTAAGGAAGGCAGAAGAGATTTTTGGCCCAGATAACAGAGATCTTTATGCAATATTTGAGGGTTTGATCAATCGGAATGTCCATTAAATCAGCTGAGCTGAAATTGTACCTAGCTTTTGTGATCTTCGGGTTTTTCCACTTTGTGACTTATATTACATTTTTTGGTATAAAATACCTAATAAAGCCTGTGTTGTGACACCTTCAGAAATACTCCATATATTTTGTATTGGATGCAACTTTGTGCATGAGGCTGTTCCAATGGTGAGAAATATAAAAAAATGCATGTCGAAGGAGCAAGAAACATACTAAAAACTTCTTTGATCAGGATACCTGAGGCTTTGGCCGAAATTTCTTGTTCAAGTAAAGGTCGAAATACTTGATCTCTGTTTGTGTTTTGCTCTAAGGATCATACTTTTATTAAGGAGTAACATTTTAGGCTATGTGGCCCTCACCAAGAAAAAGTGGCTGGGGAAGAAAGGGAAGGAAGAAGAAAAAGAAGAAATTTGATTAAACTGGTGAAAAATAATAGTAATAATTAAACATAGGCTGAAAGCTTCCTCAATTGCTGGCCCCGACAGGCAGATACGAAGATGAAATGGCTTGGGGTAATATAATCCCTCCTAGTTTAGCTTTTCATAGCTCGAAGGAAGGCTTTCTGATGATGTACTTCTTGTGGGAAATACGGCTTATCTGGTTTGAATCTGCACATAAAGTGGCAAATTCCCCTGTTTTCTCAACGTGTCAGGATTGTCTTGTTGACCCAGAAGGATTTTGTTGGTCGAGGCATAAAAAAAATGGAAGTTTGTTCCACGTGTCAAAGACCCAAAATAAGGGAGACATTGCTGTAATGGCTGTTCTTGTAACTTGTAAGAGATCCCCTTACGTGCTTCTGACAAGCCTTCAACATTCCTTAACATATGCTAAATATAGGATCAAAATATTCTCTTCTCAATTTATTTTTTATAGATTTCTGCCAAAAAAAGGGAATGGATTAAGAAGGAGGAAAGGCCGGAAAGCCTACTTTTAGGCACAAAAGTCAGGTGATCTGTCCAAAAAAACAATATGGATATTAGAGAAAGCTCAGAGAATGATGCCAACCCGCTACTTCCATTTTTCACCTCTCTCATTCTCTCTCTCTCCCTCTCCCTTTGTCATTCCTTAGCTTCTCTTTTGGCTTCTGGTTTTTGGTCACCTCTGAAAAGCCATGAGGGATGCCAGAGAACCTAATTCTGCTCCTTCATGGTACTTGGCATGCATCCTGTTCAGGCTCTTAGCTTCTAAGTCCGGTTTCTTTATGATTTGTTTTCGTGTTTGCAGCATTGGGTTTTGTTTGTTTATCAATCTTCAAGGATTATTATCACCTAGAATACGCTTTTGGCTTTCAGGCTTCAAGCCTCTTTGTTTCCATCTCAATTAGAAGTTTCATGCATTTATGCTTCAATGATTTCAATATGTCTTTGGCTGTTTTGATTCTCTCAGATTTAATTGATTTTATTTTTCACAATCACAATGCTTAGGAGGGACTAGGATTTCTCTTGTATTCCTAATGCTATGCTATTTGCTTTTTAATGGAGGAAAGAAATAGAAGCTTGTAATTCAATAGAAGAATTGGAGTTCAAAATATTAAGTTTGTTCCATGGAATTCCCTACAATTTTGCAGCATTTAATTACCAATTATTGGAACCTATTTCTCGGTTTGTTGTTTCTTTTTTCCAGGCTTTGCTCTTTTATCTTCTATTCATCACCTTCATTTGTAACAGATGATGTTTCAATGGCTCTTCTGATCTCCCTGTTCATTAGTTCTTCTGATAATCCAGATTGCCATTCTGGGTTTTTGCTTGTTTATCATATCTTGTCATATCATCTGTTTTCTTTTTCCCTCTTGTAGTGGTGTATCATCCGTTGACAGCAATGGTTCCCACAAAACTGCCAGGAAATGGGAGCCTTTTCGTCATATAAGGAGAAGACATCGAGCTGGTTTCTCTGACTCAATATCATCCCTTGGTAATAATTAATAATCCATTTCCAAGTTCTCTGGACACAGAATAGGAGAATTTGAATGATTTTTTGCTTATGCTTACAATTCTATCATGTTAGACTTGGCATCTTTAGGCGCCGAAGTAGAGAGAATAGATCAGCCATCTCCAACAGCTGCTCTCGAGGACTGCTCAACAAGTTTAGAATCGATAGAATCAAGAAGTGTGGAATCTATAGAATCTGCAGAATCTGAGCCAACTTCTTCCAAGGCCAGCACTTCATCAGACTCTGAAAATCATCAAAGTTCAGCTACTTCTGTTCAATGGCGTGGCTTCTTTCGCTTACTGAAGAAAGGACCTGGAATCCCCTTTCAAACCCTACCTCCTCTAAAGAACAAGCTCACTAGAAGAAAGAGCAAACGAGTTAGAGATGACATGGTTCCACAACTATCTTCAACTTTGGATGCTGAACTATGCTGTTTCAAATCTACCTGGAAGAACTTCTCGCTCTCAGAGCTTCATGAAGCAACCAATAACTTCAGCCATGGTATATTTCCTCCTCCTACTTGGTTTTGGCTCAAATTTACACCTGACGAACATTTATGTCGCATCTATTGTTTTTGAGTAGAAAATTTGATAGGAGAAGGAGGGTATGCAGAAGTTTACAAAGGGCAATTGAAAAGTGGAAAGCTTGTTGCAATTAAGCGGCTAACCAGAGGTTCATCAGAAGAGATGACCATGGATTTCTTGTCTGAGCTTGGAATTATAGTTCATGTTGACCATCCCAACATCGCTAAATTAATCGGGTATGGGGTTGAAGGAGGGATGCACCTCGTTCTTCAATTGTCTCCCCATGGAAGCCTGGCATCATTACTCTATGGTTTGTTTCTCTGAAGCCTCTTTAAATTAGGGTATTTCTTTGCAAGTTCTTAATTCGCAAAAATTTAGCAGTTCAAATTTGTTGCTATGCACATTCAGGTCCAAAGGAGAAACTGAGTTGGGGCATCAGATTCAAGATTGCTGTAGGGACTGCTGAAGGCCTCTGCTATCTTCATGAAGGTTGCCAGAGGAGAATCATCCATAAAGATATCAAGGCTTCAAACATACTGCTCACAGAGGACTTTGATGCACAGGTACATCTTGAAACTCGAACAACTTTGCTGCTCTGCGGAAGAATGGAGCAGCAGCTATGCAAAACTATAGGTTTTTTCTATAGAAGTTCCTTGCTTAGGGTTGAATTTTTCCAAATGGAATCCAGATTTCTGATTTTGGGCTTGCAAAGTGGTTACCTGATCAATGGACTCATCATACCGTCTCTAGAGTGGAAGGCACATTTGGGTTTGTAACTAGAAAACCCCATTTTTGATTTATGAACCTTAAAAACTCTTTCATTACATAAAGAAATTTCAACAGAATAATTCCTTGTCGTTGACAGTTACCTTCCTCCAGAGTTCTTCATGCATGGCATCGTAGATGAAAAAACGGATGTCTATGCTTTCGGGGTACTGCTGCTGGAACTCATCACTGGCAGGCAAGCCGTAGATAGTTCACAGCAAAGCCTTGTTATGTGGGTAGGTTTGCTTTATACCACCATGTCCCACTGTTCTGAGAGCATTCCCATGATTCAACTTCCTTGCACAAAATTCTTGCAGGCAAAACCATTGATCAAAGAAAACAAGATCGAAGAACTCGTGGATCCAACCCTGGGGGATGCCTATAACATGGACCAGTTGAACCGTGTTACTGCAACAGCTTCCATGTGTATACATCAGTCAGCAGTGAATCGACCCCAAATGAGCCAGGCATGTCCGAATCAACAACCCGAAGAATTAAATATTTGCTGTATCCAGATTGATTCAAAAACTTTGCATTTTGCCTGCAGGTTGTAGACATCCTGAAGGGTGATCTTACCTGCTTGGAGATGCTAAAACATCGCGAAAAGTCTATCCTTCAGAGGACTTACTCGGAGGAGATCCATGATGCAGAAGAATACAACTCAACAAAGTACTTGAATGATCTTCGTCAGATGGAGATTCTTTTGGGACAGTCCAATGAAGAACTTTGTTAGTCAAACCTTGACAAGAGGTTTCCCTAGTCATTTACCTTTTTATGTTCATTAGGTGACTTTGAAGTCTGAATTCTTTCTTCTATGGAAAGTTGTAAATTCTGTGGAGTTGTGGATTTCTTCTAGCTTTTCTTTACATTCTTGTATTGAGTTCTAGTTTCAGCAATGAAGCATCCCCCAAAAGTTGAGGGATCAGAACAGTTTGAAGGAGGGAAGTTGTATTCTTGTATACATTTCTTTTTCATTAATCAAAATCCCATATTTATAAATTATTGTTACGATTTTGATATTTTAAAATACATCAAGTCTCGTATTTATAAATTATAAATACGATTATTTTAATATTTTATGATATTTTTGTTATTAAACAAGGATAAAAAAAACTAAAAATAAAATAATGCTTACAGGATGGAAGTAATTACTTCTTATAACTACTAAGTTGGTTTGTATTAAAAATTAATTAATTAATTAATACCAGTCTAGGCTAGCAAAATTTCAAGAAGCCGTGATGTCTAACACGACAACGTTTTGACAATTCCAGGTATCCAGACATAAAAGAAACGGGCGAAGAATCATTGTCAGGAAGTCTCGTTTGCCCAAGAAAACATTGACTTTTCTTTCCCGGAAAATCTCACTCTCTCTTTCTCGTGATCCAAATTCTACATTACAATGGCTGCTGCGAAGAGTTTTCCTCTCCAATTCGCCATATTGTTCTCAATCGCTTCAATCTTGTACCAATGTTGTGATTCGTTCTTAACTCCTCCAAGCTCCATCATCAATCCTGCCAAAGCCAAACAAGTTTCCTGGAAACCTAGGTCTCTCTCCCTCTCTATCTCTCTCGATTTCTTTTGAATTGGCCAGCAAATCTGGTAAAATTTTCAATTTTTTTTTATTTCCCTTCTTTTTGCAGGGCTTTTATCTATGAAGGCTTCTTAACGGACCTCGAATGCGATCATTTGATCTCTCTCGTAAGTTCAATTTACACTTTCGTCAATTCATTTTTAATTTGAATTCATTTAATTTTAGTTTTTGTTATTATTAAAGGCGAAATCGGAGCTAAAGAGATCTGCAGTTGCTGATAATGTTAGTGGAAAGAGCAAGCTTAGCGAAGTCCGTACGAGCTCAGGGATGTTTATACCTAAGGGAAAGGTTCGATCTTTTATCAACTTCAATATTGCTTGTCAATCGTATTTTTCTTGTTTAGCCAATTATGGAAAGTGTAATTCTTGGCATTTCAAGCTTTGAGCTTTACTTGACAGCTATCCTTTCTGACATTCGTAGGACATTAGATATCGAATAGTAGCTATTATGGTAGAGTTTTGCTAAAATGGTAGTCAATTTCGTGCTTTTTATAACTAACATGTAATAGTGCCATAGATAATTTCATGCTTTTGTATTGTTATAGGCTAGATTCGTAAGCAGATGTTAATGATGGTCTCAGATGACCTCAATCTGACAAGGTTTTAGCCATAAGTTTTTGGAAAGAGGCACTCACAACACTGAAACTCATTATGCTTTAACCAAATGTGTGGTTTGGATCATTGGATAATTCTGCGAGGAGCATTATGCGTGCTCTTTTTATCTTTTGCAGGATCCTATTGTTGCTGGTATAGAGGACAAGATTTCAACATGGACATTTCTTCCCAAAGGTTTGTATACTATTGTTCAAAAAGATTGTTGCTCGAGCTTCTATCTCTTTTGAATCTTGATCTTCGCTTTTACCATATTTTAATTTGGGTGGTCTATTAAGACCACTTTTATTAGTTCCATGTCTAAATTACGAATTTCTGTTTTCATGACATTTAAATAAGCTGTGAAGATTGCTTGCACACCATAGTGATATGTTAGGGACTTTTGAAAAGTATCATCTAGTGGTCAAGATTTAGCTAGATTCTGCTACTGTGATTCTTCCAGCCAGTTTGTGTATGTAACCTTATTTAGAAGACAAGTTTCATAATCACGAAATTGACCAATAACTATGATGTGGGTGCACCAGATGTTAAATGTTTTTCATAGGACAAAAGGCAGTTTATTTTGCACATTTCTGTCTGCAGTTAATTCCTATTTGTCTGTGAACTATATATCTAGATTGCTAATCTATGCATCTGGAATGCGACCTTTTTGTTTTATGATCTGTGAATATATCAATATGTATATCATATTTATGTGATCATCTTCTGGTCATCATTGTAAAGCTGCATGCTACTCTTTGGCTGGGACACATAAATCTCATTTGTGATATGTTAAGTAGAAAACCAGACATATACGTGTTTGAATAGAAATTAGCAATTGTAGTTAAATTAAGAAAATACATAGTAACATGATTTTTTTTCTCATTTCCAGAAAATGGGGAAGACATGCAAGTGTTGAGATATGAGCATGGACAGAAATATGATCCACACTACGACTACTTTGTCGACAAGGTGAATATTGCTAGGGGTGGACACCGTATAGCAACTGTGCTGATGTATCTTACAGATGTGACCAAAGGTGGTGAAACAGTATTCCCCCAAGCAGAGGTTTGTTGAAGTGTCCTTATTTCTATTAGAGCTCTTATTGTGTTGTTTCATATACTTGCAGTCAACTGTTATTTAAGCCACTGTTGTTTTCCAGTGGCTTGAACATTTTTTAAGCTTCATGATTCAGTTTATTCTCAGAAGCTTCTGAGATCAGTTCTTATGTACAAGATACATGCTCATGGATGGGCAATGGAATAAGCTTCCCACCTGGCATCCCTTCTTATACATGGGTAATGACGTGCTGGGTGCGGATGACTGCAGTTGTTTTCTCTCTCTCTCTTTCTCTAGCAATGATAATGCATGATACATTTTTTTCTCATTTAACTTCATCATCAGGAATCTTCACGTCGTAAGACTCCTGCAACAGATGATGACCTCTCAGAATGTGCAAAGAAGGGAATTGCAGGTAAGCAACATCAGAAAAGCTTTTATGAATTGTTCATATACTTTCGTCTAGCAATTAATTGATGTTTTGTATCTCAACCTTGGAAATATTTAGTGAAACCACGAAGAGGAGATGCCCTTCTCTTCTTCAGTCTCTCCCCATCTGCTATACCTGACCCAAGCAGTCTGCATGCTGGGTGCCCAGTGATTGAAGGTGAGAAATGGTCGGCAACAAAGTGGATTCATGTTGATTCTTTTGACAAGAATTTGGAAGCCGGTGGCAACTGCACAGATTTGAATGAGAGTTGTGAGAGATGGGCTGCTCTTGGTGAGTGCTCCAAGAACCCAGAGTATATGATTGGATCTGCAGCGCTTCCTGGCTATTGTAGGAGAAGCTGTAAAGTATGTTAGTTGTACGCTATGCTTCCACGACAGCATCTGCAGCTGGATTCTCTCTGGTGGTTATTTATTAATTTTTTGGTGGATTATTATAAATACACACTCCTCTGTTACGGTTTTCACAAACATAGTCGAATTACATGTATTTTAAACGCCCGTTTGCCTTTACCTGTACTGATCAATTACTCTATTTCATCCTCCATTTGTTAATCCAATCGTCTGAAAATGAAACGTAGAGATGTAGATAGTTCGAACAGTATTCCTATAAGACAACAGGATCTGGTCTTATTAGCTTGGTTAACACGTTCTTTAGTAACATTCACATTTCTCATACATGGTCCTTGTTAGATAGCTACAAAGTTTCTGCATATTCTACTTGTGCTTGAAAATGAGGTGACCTGGACGGTAGATGGGAAAGTGTCTCCAACCAGACCCATGATGCCATGGAATCTGCAGCTAAAGGAAATGTTCCCAGATTGATGCCTAGCATGGTAGTGGTCAACCTTTTCTGTGGTGGGAAGACGTGATCAATGATCTAATTTAGGTGCCCGAAACTTATCATTTCAGGTAAAGTTGAACAAAAAAAAGTCGGTAAAAAGAAGTTGAACCGGATGCTCACACATTACCGCCCTTTGTATCCTATTTTGTCCCTTTCAAATTCAATGGTCGGATCGACAGATTCTTTTATCCAAAATCGTTAATTTTATATTAAAAATAACATAACGATACAAGTCGATGTACGATTATGAATCGATATATTGTATCATAATTATAATACGTAAAAATAAAATACTTCTTTTGAGCTTTCGAAACCAAAAAGGAGAAAACATCTGGGGAATTCAGTATTGCAATATTTCCCATGTCGACCAACAACATCAACAACCGGTTTTTCCCTGATTTAAGTTATGGGAATGCCCATCATAAGCACATTGAAAATGCAATCTTCCATGATATGCAAAAGAATAATTAAAAGAGAAGGACATCTCAAATCACCTAAACTCTGTTCCTTCTCTTTTTTCTCTCGAAGCAATAAAATATTAACAACGATAAGGATTCTCTCTTGCACGTTTGTGGTCGTCCATGGAGAAGAATGGCCAAAAAGGGTACACAGGATTTCTCACCTTAAACCCATATCTTTTCTCCAGCTGTCCCTTCTTTATTCATTGAAACCAAAAGCCAACTAATTAGAACCAACATTAGCTGTCTGTAAGTCTGCTTCTGCTCTAACAAGATTCTTCCAATCTTTTAAATTTTATTATATGCAAAACATGTTGAGATCAATGCTTGATGGAGAGGCTTTTCATGTCAAGTGTTATCACCAATCCCCTTTTGCCATCTGGCTGATTTCGATGATTAGTGCCACATGGCATGGACTAATTCATGGAAAATCGACTTCTTCTATTACTATTTTGAACTCGTAAAAAAAATCAATATAACACATAAGTAAATATGAACACAAAATTAATTCCAAAATAAAATTTCGTTACGTTTTCTTTTAGGATGCCATGAATAGACAATACTATCTTCGAAAAAGTTTGTTCTAACTTTTTTAAAAGGAGAGAAAGAGAAGGAAAACATTACTTAGAAAGACTCAAGACTCCATGAAGGACTTGGTGCTTTCCATATGTCTACATTATTATGATTATAAGGGTATGAAAATGAAGGAGGACATAACATAGCAGTCAAACCCAAGCATTTCCAGCTTGTAATGACAGGACCTGTTCCCTGATAGCTCCATTTTTGGAAGGACCCAAGGGATTATACAAACTTTCCCCACTTTCTCTGCGGGGCCATTTCTCTCTCTTCTCTCTATTTCAACGGTGATGTTGCAATCAGGTTACCCATTTCTGCACTTAATTGGAGCTTCTACAAATTTGCTACATATGATCAAAGAGTTTTTAAACTCTACAAATCCATTTGTAAAATTTAAAAATCCCATTATCTGAGAATGCACATGCCCTTGCAGTCAATAGTTTCATCTTGAACTACTTTACAAATGGTTTATCTTGGAAAGGATTCTTTCTATTGTTCATTAATACGAAATTTAGGGGATAATTATCAAAATTGATTGATCTTTTTTATAATAAAAAATTATACATTAATTATTAAATCTAATGATTGGGTACATTTTACTTGTTCATATATATAACAAAAATCTTGAGCACTGAAGTCATTTGTACGTCAACACCATGTGTGAAGTTTCAATGTAGACCAATAGTTCAAGCCAACATGAAAAACAAAAGAGAAAAAGAAATTAAAGATAAAATTTTTTCATATAAAATATTATTAAAGTAATTAAATGAATAAAATTTGTAGAGAGAGAAAGAGGAGGAGGCGTAGGAGAAGAGTGGGGGAAGGGGGGGGTGCTTTTAAAATGCATATAAATAATGCCAAAAAAGGAGAGAAAGTTAACGTAAGGGAAGGAGAGGGGCTATGACTCTGTAAGAAAACACTGAGAACAGAAGCATTGAAGAACAAATCCAGAGAAGTAGAAGGATAGACTTTTATAGACCGTAGAAGTAGTAGCAGCACTAGCACTCGTAGACAAATAACTTAAGAAAAGCAAGGGGAAGTTTTTTTTGGAGTTTTGTTCCCGGCACATTAAATTCATCAAATCCCTTTCAAAGGTTTGTGCAAGCATTTATACCCTTTTGTTTTTTGGATTCTGCCTATAATTCCATTCCAACCAAAGATCTGAAATTTAAGCCACGAACTTTCAGCTTTATTGGGTCATAGAGCTTTTATTCGTGGGAAGTTGTTTTGTGCCTGTGTGCAGAGAGAGGAACATAACAAAGGCAAAGAGAATGGAGGTGGGTCAGATGCAGGGAAGGTTGGTGGACTACACAAAATCCTTGTTTATGGAGGTAAACACCCCATAAAGGAAGAAAGAAAACAACTTGAAATGTGTACAAGTTTGTTAGCAAAAAAACTCATTTTCTTTTTTGGGTTTGTTTTTTCTTTGTTTTCTTCTTCTTGTTTTGGTATGTTTGATTTGCTTGCTTTGTCTTGTTTTTCTTTTTGCTTGGTCTTTTTTTGATAGTTTCTGTTTTGGGTGGTTGTTTTTGTTGTTGGTGAGAGAAGGGTTTCTTGGATGGTCAGTTTTTACAGCTTCAGCAGCTTCAGGATGAGAGCAACCCAGATTTTGTTGTTGAAGTTGTTTCTCTCTTCTTTGATGATTCTGAAAAACTTCTCAATGATCTCACCATGGCTTTGTAAGATCTCAGTCTGTGTCAGCTTTCTTCTTGCCGTAGCTGTCTTTTACTACTTTTATTTTTATTATTATTATTATTATTATTAGTATTATTATTATTGTTACATCTTTGATTTTTTTTTTATTTTCTCCTTGACTTTTCTTTTTCTGATACAGAGATCAGAAAAATGTAGACTTCAAAAAAGTTGATGCTCATGTTCATCAGTTGAAGGGTAGCAGCTCCAGGTACTTCTAAAGTTCCCTTTCTTTAGTTTCAAACCTTGACAACCTGTGCCTTCTTTTCTGATCTGCCTTATGAAGCCTTTCCTGTTCGCTCTATTTGGAAATTTCTGCTTTTTCTTCATCAGTAGTTGAACCCCATAGTTGCACTACAAAAAGTAAGGTAATTTAGATGAAAAACGGTCTTAACTTGTTAGATCTGACCATTCAAGTGATAGAGAAGTTTGAGTTGAGACAAGATTTTTAGAAAGTTTTTGTTTCTGTTTTTTGCTCATTGTCGCTTGATGAGAGTCAATGGCTGTTGTTTATGTGCGTGTTTAACAGCATTGGTGCACAGAGAGTTAAAAATGCTTGCATTGCTTTCCGCAACTTCTGTGAGGAGCAGAACATTGAGGCGTGAGTTGCTTTACTCTGTCAGCTTTCTTCTTGTCCATCTCCTATTCTGTTCCTCTTTACTCAAAGCTTATGAACCTTGAAAAAATATTTTTGCAGGTGCCTTGGATGTCTTCAACAAGTGAAACAAGAGTATTACCTTGTGAAGAACAAGCTTGAAACTCTGTTCAGGGTTAGTGCACTAGTTTTTTGCTTCAAATGATAATGATTCATTCATGACTTGAGTTATGAATCTGGTTCTTCTTATTGTTGTTCTGCAGCTAGAGCGACAGATTGTGGCTGCTGGTGGGTCAATTCCTTTGATGGAAATGGGTTTTTAAGGCCATCATCAACATAAAGGGGAAAGCAAGATTTTTGGGGGTGGTTTATAACAGTAGCACATATGGTTTTTGTGATATCTATTCCATTCTGTCACTTACTATAAGGTTCTCTTTCTTCTTGAACAGTGAGCTTGTGCTTGTATGACTTTAATGAAAGAAGAGATTTCCTGCTAGTTCCACCAACTCTTTGATATTTCTCTTTTCACTACTACTATTTCTTCCATTTATGTGACTCATGTCCAGTTTATGAAGCACTAGAATTGCTAAAATTTCTAATGCCATTCATTGCTTTGGTTGGTTCTTCAAACATGCCATCAAGTCTTTCATGAACGGAAGACTGTCATGGAATGCTGCTTTGCTAATGGATCAAAGAGAACAGAATTTAGATTAGATCCCATCATTTAGTAACAGGGCAACAGTTAGCAGCAAGCACACGCACACGCACATACATGCACACGTGAATTCGCACACGTGACTCATGTCGGGTGATCACAGAACTGTCTATACAGCCAAACACTGAATCGGTGGCGTAGGATCCCCAAAGTGGGATATGGGCCATTCCCGCAATTTACTCCTCAATCTGATGTTTTGCGAGACAGCAGGGGGAGAGCAACACTTCCTGCTTTGGAAGCCACTTCCTAACGAAGTTCCCATCGTAGGAAACAAATCCCATCAGGCAATCAGCATAAGCATGTCGTTTCTGGCCACACACCCACCACACATTTAATTCCAAAGAATAATTGTCCGTTACTACTTATTACTGTTATTAGTCTAGCATTCTTGGTTGGCATCCATGCTTTCAAAAGACTCATTTAAAGCGGCAAGAAAAGAATTCTGCGGTTTAATCAAATTATAGAAACAACAGCCAATTCATGTTGATTTACCCCCCATACAACTGTTCTCTCTCTCTCTCCCCATTGTAGGAATTTAGGAATATAAATCCATTTATGAAGATATGATGCTCACAAATGTCAATCGTAATCTGTTGGGTCTGTCTCTTTGTCTGCTGCCAATGGACAGAAACTTGGAAATTGGAGTCTTCTTTCCTACTTGCCAATCCAATACTTTGTTAATTAAGCAAAAAAGGAAGAAACTTTCAAGGAAAAGGGCAATCACATCAGTAAATGTTTGGTCTTTTTTCTCTAAAATATGGATGTTTCATCATCAAAAGCAATAAGAAGAAATAAAGAAGAGAAAGTTCGTTGACAGGCCAATCAACAAGTAATGTTTAAACCAAAGATAGGAAACAGTAACACGCAAAGCACATTTAACCCTTTGGAAAGAAACATCAACTCAGTTCATCTGGTCCACCATCTTTGACTGCAACTTTTGGTGGAGAATTAATTACTATCATCCCTTGGTGAATGTTTTAAAGATTGCATAAAGTGATGCATGCCTTGGAATATCTGAGCCGGGATAGGAACAGTGAGGAATAAAAGTGAACTTTGATTCATACTTTCAGTGGTATGAAAGTCTTCCTGTGTTGCTATGGCATCTTTGTTAATCTGAACATAAAACAGAGTTGGTTTCTTCTAAGGAGATTCTGCTATGGAGAATATGAGCAAATACAAATAAAGCTGCTGCTCTATCATGAAACCAAAAATTGAATTTTCTGTTTTCAGGGAATACAAAAATTTGATTCCTAATTGGAGGAAACCCCTTAAGTTTGATTAGGCGGTGTGTTCCACATTATTCTCTGTTCATCATAGCTTCCTAACACAGCAGACTGCTTTTTATCACCCAATCTATTGGCAAATAGATCATAATAGGCCATTGGGTCAACATTATTCAATATTTTGACAGATTTGCCTTGCCTTTTATTAATCAAAATCTGTCCATCCCTGGATTCAACACCTTCAGCAATGACTTTGATGCACATTTCTTGCAAGGTGGGTTTTAGATTGGAATGATCTCCGGTCAAGAATATTGCGCCGAGGATCTCACCCAAGAATGTATCCTGCAAAAGAAAGAGATAACAGTTATAGCAGAAGAAAGCAAGCAGGGAAGGAAACAAGGATAATTTGGAGGGTTCTCCAATGGAGAGACTTTCATTTTGTCAACAACAAGCAGTTTATAGATTAGAAACATTACCATATGACCATATCTGTGGTGAGTTTGTTGCAAAGTGTATAGCCTGAACAACAGGCGCTGGACAAACTGAGCTTCAGGAGTCTTCCTTGTGAGCTTCAGCCTCCCTAGGGTCTCCGCAAACAAACTGACATTACGCTGAGTGCCGAGTGGAATGAGCGTGATGTTCAGTCCTGATTCGAGGACTGTCTTTGCGGCAAAAGGGTCAAGAAACATGTTGAATTCAGCATACCTGTTGGAAGGAACAGTGAAGAGATTTCCTTTGTCATGGCTACATCGGCTGATATGTCCTCCAACAATATACACTTTCTGCAATTCCATTGAAAATCAATAGTTGGTTTCGTTATACAGCAAACATAAATCCTACAGAATACTTGTATATCATGCGCTAAGGTTGGTTCTATCAAAGCCATCCGCTTTAGACTCAGCTGCATAACTATTTAGGATTCTGAGAGTATTCCACAGAGAATATTGGTCACGACTGCCTACAACTATCGACAGGGTAGTTGATTTCTTAAAGACGTTGATTAAGTAACCTGCTATCTGTGTTATTCTTAAATTTGGACTGTCTCGTATAGAATTGTCTCCTAACAGGCGTTTCACATAGCAGAACAAAAGGAAGAGATAAAATCCACTTACCTCAATTAGTGAAGCTGTATTTGTTTCAGTTATAATCTTGGCTAAATTAGTCAAAGGTCCATTTGTCAATATGGTAACTTTAGATCCAAGTTCCAGAGTTTTCAATACCGAAGTCCATACTTCCAGTGCCAGAGGTTGTCTTAGTTCAGGGTGATCAGTATCCCGAGGAGCACCGGATTTTTTCGAGTTTTCTGCTGTATACCTGCGGTGAAAGTCAATACTATATTTCAGTTCTAAGCTCTTCAGGACAAGACAAAAGAGCGAGGGGGCAGAACAAGGATATAGAAGCAATACCTTCTAGGACTTCGTGGTAAGTCCCGAGCTAGCCCATAAAGAGTATCCGAATCCAGAAATCCCCCACTTCCATGTGGGATAGCCTTGACATACTTGCAGTCTCCCACAGGAGGGAAAACTTTGTCGGACTGGTTCATTGCAAATACATCTCCTAGACCAACTGGAATGTCATCACGGCCCATCATGTGCAGCAAATCATAGATGATATCTATTGTTGCAGCATTAGCCCAACCGGTTGGACTTACCAATATTGCCTGGATAAAGGAGAAAGATCAATTCTGCAGCTCTATGCCTGTATCTAATAATTGGCAAACCAAGTTCGTTCTACTTTCATTCAGGTGGAACCTATTTTGTGCTGTATACTTTTTGAGTAACAATCAATACGTACTACTCACCTAATATTTAACACAATTAGGCCATTTATATCCATTCTTTTGAGATCTCATACATGCATTTTGGTGTCAACCAGTGCTTACATCTCTGTTAAGATTTTATGTGGATATGATGCATACCAGTGAAACTGATCAAACTGAAACCACTTACCTTGAGGTTGAGCACTTCCACAGGCACTTTGAGGAGATAGAATAGAGCCAGAAAATCTCCAGCACTCATATCCATATCAAAAACAACAGGTTTTCCCAACTTTTTGTTCTTAAAATCTGGTTTGTGAAGAACTTCCCTATAATAAGGAAATTCTGTGGTAAGATTGAACCTCCCAGCATGTTCAGGTCGATTTAGAACCTACATTCCAGCAATGCGTGTGACATTCATTAGTACACAGATCATTGCAAAAGGAAATTATAAGAATAGCATCACTTTTTTTTTTTTCTTTTGAAAAGCAAGAATAGAATCACTTTCTGACTATAAGGATCTCCTTGACAGAAGTTTTGAGAAAAGAACAGAAGAAAGTACCAGTAAACTATGATAACACCAGTAAAAATTGGACAAATCAGAGTAACAGAATAAACCTTCAATCTCTTTCTCAAGAAAAATGTTAAGAACTTACATCCAAGAAACTTATGAAAAATTCTCGGTCAAGTTTGCTGCTAACATTCTGATTAGCTTTTGCCCTTGTAGCAACAAGAACACGAACTGCATCTGGACCAGTTACCTCCTCTGTGTAACCATCCTATTTGATTGTAATGCAAAAAGTATTCCAGATAGTCAGTAACAATTAGATAGTTGTAAAGCTAAGTATGTACTAAAAAGGGTCACTTGTCACCTAAAAAATTGTCTGCCACTTAGCTGGAATATGGAGAAGAGTTTAGATTCTATGGTGGTACACTAGACTCAGACATGATAAAATTTTGTTTCATCTACTAGAAAGTTTTCCATTATGCTACCACTGACAGAAAGCAATTACCTTGCATTTCCCTTTTCCATTCTCTACAAAGCAAAATGGATCTCGGAGTCCTGTCTGGACATGACCACTATGCACCCCACCTTTCTTGAGATTAAACTTTGGAACTTTGAGGCCATCAAATAATGGATTGGAACCATCAGATATTCCGTAAGGCTTGTTTGAAGTAACTACAGTTATATTCATGTATTCCATTTCAGCAAATTCGTTCTCCCCATTACTCTTGTGTGAATTACGCATGATTGAGACTGCCACACCAGATGTGAAGGAGTCCCACATGAAGTAGCTCTGCAGAAGGTAGCAACAATAAAGGCATTAACACCAGAAAACATGCTGTTGCATACGCATTGCATTGTTGGTAACTAGTGGAAACATGATATTAGTATCCCTTACAAGGTTCTACCAACATGAATTAAAAGAATGCTGCACAAGCATTCTGCAGAAGGCTTACTGTGTAGAATTGGTTATCAAACCAAGTATCACGAGCCAGTTTCAAAGACTGGAAGCAGTATTGTGCCTCATAAGTGCCCTGACTCTCCTCAAATGCCTCGAAAAACTTCTCAGTGATCGGGATGGTGTTTGTCGCATCCAGGGGAACAAGGGTGACTGGAATACCAGAATGAAACACCTACAAATATTGGCGCATACATTTGTTACTCTTAGGACTCCATCCATATCCAATCAGTCAACGAGGATTTTACTCGGAAGACAATTTCTTCAGTTACCTGATATGCTGCAAAAGGATCTCCGAAGATATTAAACTCAGCATAAGGATTACTGTTGTAGTCTGTG